CTGTTTCTTCCTTTTATCCGGCTCCTAAAACACGGTTGTTTTGAACAATCTTATGCCTTCAAACCCTATTTTCACAGTACAAGAAGTTGACACTTATATACCTCGATTAAACAAGCGTTTCTTGAAGCCATCTTTAATTGACATGTTTGCAAGCCTGTCGAGTAACCTTAAACCTTGACGTTTTTCAACGGATACCTACAGTTAAGTTTGGCCTTGACTAGACTTCGTTTCATCAAATATTAGAAGGCGAGAAGGTTGACTTACCTTTATGGAAAATGATAAAAAGAATCAAAACACAACACGCGCTTTGCCTCATACTTTCAAGTTAAGGGTCTTACCACTTTCTCGCTACATTCGCTTGATCACGCAAACTACAAACAAGGTTACTAGGCAACTTTGAAGGTCTCTTGAGAATTACGAAACGGTAAAAAAACTGTCTATGAAAACAATTTTTCAGTCGTCGTTTTCAGTCGGAAAATACTTTAGAACAAAAATACAAAGCATTTTTCTGATTTATTCGATAGAAAACTCTATTTTTTTTTATCAATGTTACGAGACGTGTATACCTTGGTGACAACGCAATGTTTATGAATGAGCGTCTGTTTGGGAACACTTCCGTTTTTTTCTGAGGAACCGACGCGCCCTGTTTTCTGTCATTTATGACTAAGAACGGTTTGACGTGATTTGGCTTGGTGATTGTGAAAGATCTCAGCAGGATGTATGTCGCATGAAAGTCACAGCTTCCTCCGTCTTATCACCGGCAACCTAAACTCGATATAAGATTACATTTGTACTCTGTACAATATTTATGTCGCCTAACAGCAAACGGAAACAGGAAACGGTTGTGCTCGATAAAAAAAAAAAATTTTAAGGGATTTGGTTTAAGGTAATTATAGCTTAACTCACTCCAAGCACTTATTTCTGTGTCTTCGAGGTATATCGGAACTGAAGAAACGTTTTCCACAGGAAAAGTCCTCGCTAGATTCGATTCTTTTGACGAGAGGGGTGGGTTGGGATGATTCCGCTTGTTTTATTAACTTTACTGGCCGGGTACTTCGGATCAGACGATCGATAGTTTCGTTCAAATTCGTCTCCCAGATAAGTGAGTGTAAACATGTTTTTTTTTTCTTGTTTTATACTCATATTTTACTCCTGTTTTCTATCTTCGCTTATGTTTGAGACGGTAATGTCTTTCAAGCGTTTCACAAATACAAATTGAATTGCAAAGCCTTCAGAGTCTGTTAGTCAGAAAAGGTCGACTTACATTAAATACCGTGAAGTGAAGAAATCATTCGACAAAATTAATATACCATGGTGACCATGACTAAAAGAACACAAAGGATGCGATTAACAGTCGGCATGTGGTAGTTCTCACTTAGAAGAAAGCCGGAATCTAGGCTATTATTTTTACATAATTTGTGATCTGAGGTATAATTCGAATAATCTGCTTAATTAGTAAGGTTTTTAGGCCGATTTCACCGACTTGCAAACCCATCAATTCACCTTCTTATACAATTTTTTTTATACATGTATACGCCATCAAAATGGTTCTCTCATTATTATGCGCCAAAGAAGAATGGACTGCATCTCTAATTTACTCTGATGAAGGTCGTAGAGATAAACGAAAGTCAAAATAGGTCGTTTCCATTTTATCACTAAATATACTCTTGCAAAAAGTGTGCCAAGCTGTTCTCCATCTTGTCAAATTTGTTCTTTCTTTATTGGTTCTAGATTTATCGCTTTTATCTCATCCCATGTGCGAGTATATGTCAAAAAGCGTTCGAGTCTTTTAAGCAGTTCGGACACAAAGCGAGAAAGGTCATATACACAATAGGAATAACAAACTCCAAGGCCGGTTACAGAAGAAAAAACCTACGCGAGTCTGGATGGTTATAGCGACGAGGAAATTATAATGAGCGTGTCCTGAACGTTTGCAGTATGTGTGTTTTCAATTCCGTTCCAACGCAACTCGTTTTTAAAATATGGAGCAAAATATTTACCGCAACCCGTCAGTAAAAACGTGTGCATGTATCAGCCTGGTTAACAAGAGTAGAAGTCACTTTGAGCAAGCTTCGCTCTCTGTCGAATGCGGAAGTCGTTATTACAAGCTTTTTTTTTTTAATCTCACGTCTGACCACTGCCAAAAGGTAAAGAATCCCTACGCTAGCCAAATATACGTAAAAATCACCTACCTCGATTTAATATTGCGAGTAAAAGTATTGCATGAAAAGCTCTCTGCATGTTGCGAACGTGATACATTGCAGTATGGATTGCTTCCACAAAATTAATTTGACGGTTGATCTGACCTTACGTAAAAAGGTACGAAAGCCAGACGGTTCAAGTTTCAGTAAACAACAGATTTCGACGACTGGTTTATATTTATAGTTGTTGATAACAGTTAGTTTACCGCTTGACAGCCAGTTATTATCAAATTCATCTAGAACACGAAAGTTCACCACTTCTCCAAGGGGTTTGAATATTTAAATTATCTGATGTCTGATAATTTGGTTCAATCAGATGTGAGTCCGATCATAGCGACACACTCAATTTGATTGCATCATGTGGCGATCATTTGCTAGACGCGTGTAGGATCAGATTAAAGCGTGCCTGAAATTCTGGGCTGAACGTTACCCAGAAAGAAAAAGTTTGAAATGCTGATTATTCGCTACAGAAACAGCAGATATAAAGGAGGGATTCTGGCAAATTTTGAAAACAACCATAATTTCAAGGCAACTCTTGAATTTTAACCTTGGTTTCAAGTTAACCTTGAAATCGACCTTCATTTCAAAATAACAGTTTTTGTACATTTTCAAATAATCCTTGATTTCAAGACAACCTTGATTTCAAGAGTTCTGAAGAAGGTGTACACACTACTTCTTGAACGATTCTCTTGTCGTACCACCGGTATGTTGCTTGTTTGTGTCAAGATTTTCAAATATCATTATCGTATCTTCTTGCAAAGAAGTCGTGGTATGCCTTGATTTGTTCATCTGTCAAAATTGTGTTCTGTTATCATTGTGAAAGGAGATTGGCGTTGGAACGGGTACCTTTTTTTATGTGGGAAGCTTCTTTGATTCATTTTAAGTTATTTCAAACTTTCAGAGACAAGTTTGAAGAAAGACTGAAAGAAATCTAAGGAAAGAATGTGTCGCAATTTTCAATTAACAATTTCCTCTCATCAAATACGCGTTGGACTCTTCAGTGAGCGAAGAAAGACGAAAGAACTACTTCGACGAAGCCTGGTACGAGAGCTGACATGCGCAAATGCTTAAAAGAGTCCCGACTCGCGAGCGCCCACAAGTAAGTATCAGCCGCTCTCCCACTCCTTGGGGGTATTGTATTCCATAAAACAAAATATCTTATTTTGTAATCATGTTCAAGAGAACTGCAGATCATGTTCGTGACTCAACAGAAACTCTGCTTAAACCTGCTTAAAACTGCTTAAACCTGCTTCGACCAATCCTTATGAACTTTATGCAGTTTTCCCTATGAGTTTTGCGTAGTTTACGACGGAAGCGCCGACCAACTGGCTGATTGAAGGACCTTAGCGTATGTCTTTTACTATGAATAAGTGAATAAAATTTCTTTTAATATAAGATACAACTAATCATGAAGCGCAAATTGGTTTCCAACGATGTTTGCAGCTTTAAAAGTTCTAGATGTGGTGTAATTCAGTTAAAAAATGTACTTGCCCT